GGTCGTATTGTTTCGCGGCTTTCCTGTTTCACATGCGCTATTTCCCCTCCTCCCTCCTCCCAAAAAAAGGGGGGAGTCGTACAGACTGGACTGAAATTCCCAACCAGTGATGTGCCCTGTTGCATGGCTATGTCAAGGCTTCAACCACCCCCCTAGAAAATGCACAGTGCTGCTCTTCATCGAGCTATATCCCTAGCGCTCCAACAGCTTCGCTGAAGCACATTTATGCCTTCGTTTTCGGTCCAGCTAGTGGATCTTGGTGCGGTCAATAGAAATTCCTCATTCTCCGCCCAGTCAGAGCTGAAGCAACACTCTGAAAGGTATTCTGTCCATAGCAAAATTATAGAATTCGTCCGTCATGGTCCTAGTGTTATTTCAGCTGTCGAGGGTTGCTTTGTTCGATGTAGGAACATCCTTATGTACACTCGCCAGGTAACGATTACATGGTAGAAGCAGTGTAGCTGGGAAGATGGGCATGAAAGAACAACATCGCGATGAGAGCAATTGTGTTCAGCGAGGCATTCCCCCTGTTCCCTACTGACTGAAATACGACCCACCACAAAGGTTTTCCGCCGACGTTCGGTGCTGTGATAGAACATTTCAAGAGCCCGGCACGGGTTGAGGGTTTTTTTATTGTGAAGAAAGCATTCGAGCGAACGGCGATCACCACTGAATGTTCGCTAGTGGGCGCCCGCATGGTAGCCTTGTCCCCTATGGGCTACCCCGAGCACTCCGTTCACGCTATCACCAACATTGCACCGAAGTTCTGTTTCAATAAAATAGCATAGAAGTCGTCTATGGTTCTGTAGTGAATATTGTTCGAGTGAAGTGCTCTATTAAGTTGTGCGTGAAACAATCGGCTTCCAGCTACCGGGATCAACATTCAAGGGGTAAAATTCCCTTATAGGTGGAGAGTTTGGTCAGCTAGTGGCTCATTCATTTAATAAGGTTTTTTTCGCAAACGTTCGTCTGCGCAGCTCCTGGGATAATACAGTCTTGTTCGCTGCGGATGCTGGGGCGTGTCAGGCGGTTGCGGTTTGTGTGGCACTAGCTCGTTCTACACCAGCTGTTGAAATGGGCAAGTGACAGCAATGGATGGAAAACAGGTTGGCGCCGCGCCAAACCAAGCCCTCTGATACACCCCAGAATCCGCAGCGAACAAGTCTGCAGATCACGGACCTCCCGTATTGCCTCTTATGGTGGATCTGAACCGCTACTATATGTCGTTGTTTTTTTCTCGAATTTTTTGAAGTCTCCCGCTTTAATCTCTCCCTTTACACCTCTTACCTCTCTCTTGTCTTTTTTATTTTTTTCCTTGGTCTCTGTCACTATAGCGACATTAGGTTCTCATCTTTACTTAATGTATTGGCACTCAGAAAAGAGACAACAAATGGGGTGTGATGCGCCATCCGATGGTGTTGAATTTCATCAACGAGCGCCTTCTTGATTGTGCTTTCTTCTACACTCTCCATGTCTTAGGTAGTTTTTTGCCCTTTTATTTTTCTTTCGTTGTCGATTTCGGTTACAAAATAATCTTTTTCAGCTTTTGGAATATTTCTGTTATTGCTGTCGTCGCATATTTTTTCTAGCACACTTGCTAAGGATATAGCTGTCACAGCCTTCATAGCGTTATTTCTTTTCTTTATGGTAATTGTTTATTGATTATTTGATTTTGCTTCTCTTACGGATTTAACACATTTGAAAAATTTTTTCCTAATATGTTGAA